ATTGAGCTTGAAGAAAATCTAGGTTAGCTTTTCCTGTCATTGAGGTCGAAATTGAAGTGAAGACAATCTAGGGTTATTGCAATTGAGGTGGCGATTTTTAGGGTTCTTCGAATTGTACGATCGAAAAAAAGGAATTAGGGCTGATTTTGTGATTTTCCCAAATTAATAACGGGTGTGGTGCGATTTTCCCTCCAAAATGCACATCTGTCCACGTCGAATAATTTAATCATGCCACGTATGAAGAGCCTGAAAAAGGAAGAGCCACGTAATAAACTAATCACGCCACGTCGGATTTTTATCAAAGGGGGGTGATTAGTGTGCCGTTTCCGACCAAAATGCCAACTTCGTGTCTCTTTTTTGTGCGTGACAACATAATGTCTCTTTTGTTGACAACGACCAACTTAGTATATCATTTTTGTAATTTTTATCTCTCAAAATATGCACTACACTAGCGCAAAAGATCCCTCCAACCGTGCGCTAAAATCTTGCGCTATATTAGAGAATTGAACAGTGTTGCGCCACATTTGGCGCAACACTGTAGCTGCAGCGCTGCATCTTTTTTTTTTATTTCCTTAGTTATTCATTTTTATTTTTGCATTTTGGTGTAATATTATTGATAAATTTTTGTATAATGTGTATTGATAATGTATTGTTATGCTAAATAATTTTGTGAAATGTATTTTTTATACTAAATAATTTTGTGTTTTTTATTTATTGATGTATTATAATTTTATTTTGTAATTTTTTAATATGTAAATGGTATTATATGAATAAAATTTAACACAACAAACAAGTAAATTTATTAAAATAAACAATTCACAACACACGTAAATCAGAAATACACAAATAAAAACAAAATAGCATTAATATCAAAAGATTACAACATACATAAATCATAAAATACACAAAATAAAAATAACATAATTAAAATAATTTTTAATCGTTGTTTGTAATGGTTTTTAATTTTTCATTGTATTATGTAATTTATATTCTAATTGTTTGAATTTATGAAATAATCTCGTGTTGTTATCCTTAAGCATATTTTTATTATTTGGGTAATAAACATTTAAATAATATTACATAAACATATATATATATATACCAATTTATTTGAAACAAAAATAAATAAATAAATAAATAATATATTTGATGTAGAATAAAATGTAGAGATAAGTGCTGAAGATGAATGTTCAACCATACTCTAGAGTAGAGTAAAGTCCGCGCTAGAGTAGAGATAAGAGCTGGAGATGACATAAGGTTAGTTGACTT